GTAGAAAATAATATGGAAGTGACAAATCAGCCATGCAAGTACTAAGTCGGTTTTCCCGCCTGTGTCCGACTTCCCGCCTTTTTTCTTCCTCAATTCTTTCCCGCCATTCTTCTCTCCTCTGAATCACACGGTTCGAACCACTTCCGCATTTGTGCCCGTTCTCCTTTTTTTTTTTTTTTTTTTTTTCTCCTTCTCTGGATCGCACGGTTCGGACGACTTCCTTCCGCTTTTATGCATATTTTCCTCTCCTCCTTTTAGTCACACGTTTAAACCTACCTACTTCCTTTTTTGCCCGAACAGTGATGAGCTGGTTGTATATACTTTACATCATGATCGGGTGAGCTACGGTAGCCGCGGAGGCCAGTAGTACGAAGCTAAGTAATCAAGGTACGAACTCGGGTTCTTTTGCCTCCCACTATGCTGCGCGCCTCCTTAACCATACTACTTCACATCGTCGTCCGTTGATCTAGCCGAGGAGGCCAGCATTAAGTAAGTAATCAACCGTTGATCTACCCGAGGAGGCCCGTATCAAGTGAGTAATCAAGGTTCGAACACGGGGAAACTTTTGCCTCCCACTTCGCGCGCATTCTTATCTCTACCTCCAAATCACAGTTGCTCTGTCTCCCCTCCTCTCCCATCTCCTCCCCTCCCCTTTCCTCTCCCCTTTCCTCCCCTCATCTCCTTTCACCTGTCGTTCCGCCCCTTCCCTTCGCCTCCCCTCCTACTCGGCTCTCTCTTCTCGCGCCTCCTTATCTCTACCTCCATTGCGGCCACTCAACGCCACTCTCAATCACAGTTGCTTTGTCTCCCCTCCTCTCCCATCTCCTCCCCTCCCCTCGCACCTCTCCTCCCCTCGTCTCCTTTCACCTGTCGTTCCGCCCCTTCCCCTCGCCTCCCCTCCGCTACTCGGCTCTCTCTTCTCGCCCCACTTCCCTCTTGGTATCTCTTTCTCTCTGTCATCATTATTTGTCCTCTTCTCATGCTCTGTTTCTTTCTCTTGGCCATGAATGTCTCTCTCATTCTTGTTTTATTCTCTTTGCAAGTAGTTAAAAGTGTTATGTTACCCATCTGATCCCTTTCAGGATTCGAACAGAGGTCCGTCGATCAGCAGTGGTCGCTGTCATTCTTCTGCCAAACCACCTATGGGCCTCTCTCTTGCACTCACCGAATCTACAAAATGAAAGTGAATCTTCCGCCGGAACATGGATAGATACACCGCCATAATTTTTGGCTTTTGAGCATGTGGTGACCAGCCCCAGGCCTTCATTCAGCATCATTTAATGTCAATTTATCTAGCTCCCTCTGGATTCGATCTCACGTCTGTATTTCAACAGTTCATGGGTGTACCAACTGAGTTACTACTGTAGTCCCGTTGGTAGCCCGTTTGTTCCGACTCAACTAACATTCCGGTTTTCAGATGGACAACGGCCCTTCGCCCTTGGCCCTCCCTTTTCTGATTTCTCTGAGTGGCCCTTGGCCGTTCCCCCTCCCTTTTCTGATTTCTCTCAGTGGCCCTTGGCCCTTCCCCC